ATGTATGGTATTCAGCTTTGTTGGGTATTTTCCCACGTCATTATAGTTGTGCTTTTAAAGTTGTAGCAACGTTTCGGCAGAATCTCATCTGCCATCATCAGGCTTCTGTATTGTGTTTGTCTGTGAGTCAGACTTTCACAGCTGTTTCTGTTTTAAATTTGGGGCTAGCCTACTGCTGTGTTAGAATGGTTTTTTCTTAATCCTGATTGGTTGGGAGTCTTGGTCTGTGTTTATTGGTCTTGGAGTTTGCTGTATTCTGCTTGATTGGTGTTTCTAATATCTTCTGTCTGTTTTGTGGCTTTTTTTGTCTTGATTGGCTGGCAACATTGTGTTCCTGTATTGGAGGCTTTTAGTGCAGCTTGGCTCCGAGTAAATGGATGGCTATCATTTATTAGGAAGCTAGGTTTCAAACACACCCCAACCAGGCACCCAGATGAAACCTAGCTTCCTAATATATATGCATATAAACATGTTTATATTTATACTAATTGAACACAAAACATAGAATAATAGAGTTGGAAGAGACCTTGGAGGTCTTCTAGTCCAACCCCCTTCCCCAGCAGGAGACCTTACACTATTTCAGATAAATGGATGTCCAATTTCTTCTTAAAAATTTCCAGGATTGAAGCACTCACAACTTCCGAAGACAAGCTATTCCGTTGCTTGATTGCTCTCACCATTAGGAAATTTCTCCTTCATTCCAGGTTGCTTCTGTCTTAATTTCCAGCATTGTTTCTTCTCTTGCCTTTTGGTGCTTTGTAAAATTGATTTAATAGGTTATTGATTTTGATTTTACGGAAAAGACCTGTGAGTTAAATCACATATCTTGCTGCTTGAACCCTGACAATGAGCTTCACTGTATTCTGGAAAGAGTACTGTAATTCCTAATGACTATCTGTCGCTTCCTTTAGAAGAATCTACTATAGTAAAAGGTGGCATCCTGGGGTGGTCTTGGCTATAAATTTCATCATACTTTGGGCATCATACTTGAAAACATTGATTTTAAATGGTTCATTTTTCAAAACCTTGCTGGTTCTTTCCTAACTGTCTAATGTTGCTGCAACTTGGTAAATACAGTCTAGCCTTGTGAGTTGTTTCTAGGATAGTGGGAGGATAAAATCCCATCTACTTAAATCATACTTCAAAACTGGGAAAGAAACCAGAACAGATTGCCCCCAGAATGACCTTGGACAGAACTGATAATTTATGAAAAACCAGATATCATTCTTGGTGGTTTTTTTGCAGTATACATAACTACTATTGTGAATGTTTTATTGGAAAGTGCTCCTCCTCAACAACAACAACAGGCAATTTTGAATAACACAGAAAAGACTTACTGACATCTGTGAGTCACAAGCTCCATACATTTCTTCAGGGGAAAAAAAACTCTGAAGAGTGACTGCAGCCAATGCTTTGTTTGGATGTGTACAGTATTTGGCTGCCTACAAAAATGTAAAATGGGAGCTTAGGAGCTTGAAAGACTGTGTCTTTCAAGAGTGGGCGTTAGAGCTGATAGCTCTACCAGTGCTTTGTGTCTATCCAGCTACATTTCTCTGACAGCTATTTTGTACTTCGAAAATCCAGCCCACACACCCATTTTGTGACAGTACAAATTGTCAAACCCTCAACATGTCAAAATTCCAAACGTGCCCACAAGCCTTCAGCTAGAAAACCTGAAGAAGACCCTGCTCTGCAGTGACTGGCAGCAACTGGCTGAGATTCCTTCTCCATCCATTCCTAAGAATGCCAATAATAGAACCTGGATCCTTCTTCACTCAGAGCATATAGTATACTTTCAGTCTGCAGCCTTTTCCTCCACCTCCCTCCCCAGCTATCACTATGTATTTTGTGGAAATAAGTCTTTCTGTACTTTTAACTACCACAGCATTTCTCTGTACATCAAATAAACACTTGCCATAGTCTATCTGCCCTGTATCAGTGGGGAAGGAAAGATTCCCCTTGTTTGATCGTGGTGTTGATATGCAAACTATTAAACATATTGTGCAAGATTGCCCACAATATGCCTTCTCTGATTCAGTAGAAGATGTGCACAAAATAACATCAGAAGCAATTGAATGGATTGCTGAATTCCAGCTGTTAGGTCACTGCCATACTCCCACAGACATTTTGGGTATAATTATGTGGATTGTGTGCATATGTTTACATACATACAGCAATCCTCATTATATGAATAATAATAATAATAATAATAATAATAATAATAATAATAATAATAA